TGCTATAGTCTTCAGGTCTCTATACTCACCCAGAACTATTCTTCCTTGTCACAGAGTGAGAAAAAAATGTATGCTCTCTTCACTTCCCACAACTCCCAGGAGGGCTTGCACTCAATATTTGTTTTATGTTTCAGGATGAAACTGTGTTGGGAGAATTGTGTGGTAGAGCGAGCACACCCCTCTTCTGTCCCATACACTATATCTACAAAAGACATGGCTGGCGTGCAAACTTAATTAGTTAAGATATATAATTCTAGCATTCACCCCATGCCTTTATTTGTTCCAGATTCAGTAACATGATTTAGAAATCGTTTGGAAATCAAAGTTAAAACACGGTTGTTCCCCATGTGATCGAACTGCTCTCGTGACCAATGCCATGGATTTTCTATTCTGATTTTCAGGACAGCTCTCTTCTCATCGTCATTGTATTGAATACAATATGTCCTTCAGACTGTAAATTCGGGGTTTTGTTTCAGAAAACATAATGACCCGCCTTATTTTCTGTGCCTGTTGCCATGATAAAATACTCTAACAGAAGCAATGTAAGGAAGGAAGGGCAGGTTTTGCCTTACAGTTCCAGAGAGATGGATGCCATCTTCACCATGGCATGGTAGCTAGAGCAGGAGGTATCTGCACTGAGGGAGCGAAGAGTGAGCAGAAAGCTGGGCCTGGCTATAAAATCTCAAGGCTCACAGAGAGTCACTTCTAACAAGTCTTGTGAGGATCCACAATTTTCCTAGAGAGGACTCTCAGCTAGGGGCCAAGTGTTCAGACCAGCCTATGGGAAAGCATTTTATATTCAAACCATATTTTGGTGATAATCTACTCAAAATCCTTGCTCACAATCTTTCTGCTCTCACACATTGTCAGCAGCAAAGAGTCAGCATTTCTGAAGAAGATTGGCTTAAGTGAGCATTCAAAAAAAAATTAGTACTTGAACTCACAGAGAGGAGTGGGTATTTTAAATATGAACTTACCCTTGGGTTTGAGGTTATGTGTTTCTGAGTTTTGCTAGTGCGTGATAAACTCAGGTGAGCAATAAGAAGAGGAGATACCATACACACACGTGCTCTAAATGGGAGCCACCATCAATAACGGGGACCTGGCTTTCTCCTTGGACCCACTGGCCTCTGGACTCTGAGGGAAGTCGTGTGTGAAGGATGCTCTCCAGCCCCCAGCTGCCCACGGGGATCATCGTAAAGCCGTCTGCCAGAAGGAATGTGTGAGCTAATGACAAATGGGACCCGACTCCAGGGGAAAATAGACTTGGGGAAGCTTTTAATGCCAAGCTTTATAATGTTTAGGATGAAATACTGCATCAGGTTTCTCACGAGGATGGAAACGACCTCAGATCAGTTTAACAAAGCGTTTTCCAGTCGAAGAGAACATGCTTGAATAGAGAAAGAAAATAACCTAGTACTCAAAGCTTCGAGGGGGCTTTCTTCCTTCCCTTTCTACCTGGCTCTCCCCTCTCTTTCATCCTGACCTCCACTCTATAACTCCCAGTCACACTCAGTGAAAAAATACAAAACACAAACCTCTATGAACTTTTTTTTTCTCTGAGTTAACCCAGACAGAAAATATTCTGCCCCATTTAATTCAGAAGTACCTTTATGATGGTTGGGCCATGCATCCAATTTCTCTCTCTCCCTCTCCCTCTGCCTCCCTCCCTCTCTGTCTCTCTCTGTCTCTCTCTGTCTCTCTCTCTCTCTCTCTCTCTCTCTCTCTCTCTCTCTCTCCGATTCAGATGGGCACCCTATTATATCAAATCAGTCTTCAAGTCTGGCCTCTCTCTTGGGTAACCTCCACGTGTGCATTATCACTTAGTTCTGTGTCTGTCTCCTACTCCCAAATACTTTCTGCCTGCAGTGATACCGCCATTCTCGTTCTCCGTCTCTAATCAGATTGACGGAATAGGAAGGTGAGAGAGATGCAGAAGTGTTCTAGTTGTAATTCATGGCTTGGAGTATAATACAGGGATGGATAAAGCCATACATGATAGTGCAAGAAATGTCCTCCTTATGAACCAGGTGGCGGCTTCTGAATAGGGAACAATTCTGTCTTGGATGGCCGAAGGCCTCTACTACTGTTTTCATTGTGTGATTTGTTTTAATCTGGGACTGGGATTCTAAGAGTCTTCTCACCTTTGTGACTCTTTGACATCCGTCTGTAATGACCTTCCATGGGTTTCTGCATCTTAAGATAAAAGCCTGCACACAAACAAAGCTAGGTTAGCTACATGTAACGTCCAAATCTCACTCGTATTGTTGATAACCAGTGAGTCTTTAATTCATCTACCTTTTTCTTCTTCCTAATTGTATAGTTCAGAATTGAGTCTTCGTCATGTATCTTGCTTTTCTCCCATGTCTTATGAATCAATATGATAAAGGGAACAGAGTAATAGTAAATATTATTGATCAACTTCATCTATACTGAGGGTACAGTAGGTACAGCTCTCTTTTCTCTTTTAAAAATGGGTTATCTTGGGCCATGATAGGAAGACTTGATATTATCTTCTCTGCTTGGAATGTTCTGTGGATATGTGGAGAAGAGGCTGCTTCGTGTGTGCAGTGAAAAAAAGTGGCCAAAGAATAAAGAAAAAAAAAAGCATCTCTTCCACTTTAAGCTTTTTTGTGTGTGTTCCAGAATCATCTTCCCCAGGTGTTTGTATGGCCGAGAGGGTGATGACCCTGAGATTAGAGCAGATTAGCTTCCCTGGGCTGCAATCAACTTTTATATGAGCTAAATGTTTTTTTGAAAAAAGCTCAATTTGAAGAAAACATGACTGAGGGGCCACTGATTTAATGCCTCAGTACACAGCATGTTTTTAGAAAACACAATCATTTTTTGAGGAGTTTATGTTTTCCATGGTGAAAGTAATACATGTGCACTACAAATAATTTAGAACTATGAAACATAAGGAGTGAAAAATTTGCCCATGTTAAAGCCACCTGGAAATATCGCAGGCCAGACTGCTGCCAGCAGTTGGTACCTATTAAGTGCCTTTACAAGATCTACGTATGTATGTATGTATGTATGTATGTATGTATGTATGTATGTATGTATGTGTGTATGCATTTTCTATTCATCTCTCTACCATCTAATCTATCCATATATTGTCTATTTATTATTTACATTTATTATCTATCATGTCTCTGTATTTATCATCTATCTATGTATAGATCTATCAGTCATCGATTTCATCCATTTATCTCACATCCTTTCTATCTATCTATTTATCTATCTATCTATCTATCTATCTATCTATCTATCTATCTATCTATCTA